AGAGCGCATACAGAGCGCATACAGAGCGCATACAGAGCGCATACAGAGCGCATACAGAGCGCATACAGAGCACGCATACAGAGCGCGCATACAGAGCGCATACAGAGCGTACAGAGCGCGCATACAGAGCGTATAGAGAGCGCATACAGAGCGCATACAGAGCGCATACAGAGCGCATACAGAGCGCATACAGAGCGCATACAGAGCGCGCACAGAGCGCATACAGAGCGCATACAGAGCGCATACAGAGCGCATACAGAGCGCATACAGAGCGTATGGCGGGCTCTGCAGGGTCACCCTCAGGTTGTACCGAGTACTGTACTTGGTATCTGTGCAACCCTAGTTCTTATAGAGGGGTAGGTAGGTGGGGCAGTTATTATAGAGGGGTAGGTAGGTAGGGGCAGTTCTTATAGAGGGGTAGGTAGGTAGGGGCAGTTCTTATAGAGGGGTAGGTAGGTGGGGGCAGTTCTTATAGAGGGGTAGGTAGGTGGGGGCAGTTCTTATAGAGGGGTAGGTAGGTGGGGGCAGTTATTATAGAGGGGTAGGTAGGTGGGTGCAGTTCTTATAGACGGGTAGGTACTGTAGGTGGGGCAGTTATTACAGTGAGATAGGTAGCTCGGGGCAATTATTATAGAGGGGATAGGATGGTGGGGGCAGTTCCTATAGAGGGGTAGGTAGGTAGGGGCAGTTCCTATAGAGGGGTAGGTAGGTGGGGGCAGTTCTTATAGGAGAATAGGGAAGAGGGGTATGTTCCCCCGGGGCAGTTCTCGGTGTTTGGCCGCTCTATGGGCTACTGGTAATATTTAGCAGGGAGAGTCATGTGACCCGAGGCTGCAGTACCTGTGGACAGGGGGCGGTTCCCAGGCACTCACCTCCGGTGGTTGAGCAGATACATACAGATGGGATAGGCCGGCAGCTCGGCCAGACCGGACAGCGCCAGGCTCAGGTAGAGATCTCCGCCCAGTTCACCGGAGCCGAGCGTGAGGCCGTAATACACCAGACTGCAGACAAACCTGAGACAGGGGTCATGTGATCAGTCATGTGATGAAGGACAGGGCTCAGTGGGTAAGTGTACCCCATCTCCCTACTTACCACACCCACATCATGACCAAGGTCCGCCTCCTCAGCACAGCGTGCCGGTATAGGGTGACGATATTGGACTCCTGGACGTAGGTCTTCTGTCGGGGGGAGAGGGTGAAAGGGGGCGGAGTCACACAGTTCCAGCGAGCCAGGAAGAGGAGGGACTCCTTCGCTTCATCCAGACGCCCCTGAGAGTACAGCCAACGGGGAGACTCCGGGAGCCACCTGCAGCCAATCACAGGACAGGGACTGATCAGGACAGCCAATCACAGGACGGAGACTGATCAGGACAGCCAATCACAGGACGGAGACTGATCAGGACAGCCAATCACAGGACGGAGACTGATCAGGACAGCCAATCACAGGACGGAGACTGATTAGGACAGCCAATCACAGGACGGGGACTGATCAGGACAGCCAATCACAGGACAGGGACTGATCAGGACAGCCAATCACAGGACGGGGACTGATCAGGACAGCCAATCACAGGACGGGGACTGATCAGGACAGCCAATCACAGGACGGAGACTGATCAGGACAGCCAATCACAGGACGGAGACTGATTAGGACAGCCAATCACAGGACGGGGACTGATCAGGACAGCCAATCACAGGACAGGGACTGATCAGGACAGCCAATCACAGGACGGGGACTGCGATGGGAACATTACTCACAGAGTCAGGATGAAGACCGCCAGGCCATGAACATTCACCAGGACCGCCAGCAGCCTCCAGGACCGGACAAAGTAACCAATCAGAGCGAAGTGCGAGATCCCCAACGCAAATCCAAATCCCGACACCGACCCTGAGGAGGGAAATACAAGATGATCCGGGG